AGGAGGCGTGGGAGAGAAAGATGGGTGGGAGTCGTCAGTGAGAGAGGCGGGGTGTGGATGGGGCGGGGACCGGGGGGGCGCCACAGGGAGGGGAGAGGGAATGACATTGGGGCCGGAGGGGAACCCACCTGCTTTTGGCCCCAGTGCAGTCGTGTAAGATGCCAACCACACCCTTCCAGTCCCCTCTCCTCGCGTGGCACGTGGCGAGCAGGTGTCGATGGGCTTCTGTGGTTCCGGGGGGGGGGTGAATCGACGGGGGGGTGCACAAAGCGTGAGGTACATCGTGAGTGACTTTGGAGAGCGAAAAAGGAGTAAAAGGAAGGCCTCGGGGAATAAGGCAGTGCCCGACTCAGGGCCCTGGGGGATGGCGTACCCGTTGGTTGTTGGGCGCACAGGCGCTCAGCCAGGAAGGTGGCGGTGGGAAACAGGCACAAATCCAGATACCTGTCAAGTTGAAGCGGGACCAAAAACGCACAAGGCAGTTCAGCTTATCAAAGCAGTGTACGCCGAGGATTCACTGCCAGTTTCCAAGAAAGGGCCACCGGCGACCCTCTCCATGCAAGGGTCTCAACCACGTACCGGTGAATTATCTCCGTGACTGGAGCCTCTGGCGGCCAAGACAAGCCCTCTTTTCCATCCCACTGCCCTTTCAATGCGTTTGGAAGTCCCCAATCACTTATAGACGGGTGCGTTTGGTTTCCAAAGGGGCTCATCAGGCCACGAGCTGAGGACCCACCTAGGGCAGCCTGTTGTTCAGAAGGAGGGAGAGCGGATGATTGAGTCCGAAGTGCTCCACCTCGCCTTACAAGGTTTTCAATGTGGCGCGAAGGAGACAAAAGAGGAGCGTCATTGTGTCATTCGGCTCCAATTTCCACGTAATGGAGTCGGGGCTGGGCGGAAGTCCCGGGCAGTAGAGCCTTTGCAAGAGTAGGAAGTCAGCGATGAAAGCGATTTAGAAGCCCTGAACTGCAGTCAACCAATCCATTGCACGCAGCGACAGGTGCAGCACGCACGGCGCGCAGGGTGCTTGGGTGTCGTGTTGCGTATGTGCGCGCAGATGTGCGGGCACGGCGTGGTGGCTATGCGGGCCCGACGTTGTGTGCGAGAAGGAGGAGACCGGGTGTTGCTGTCGGCACGAGAAGCCGTGCGTGGCCATCTCAAACATTTCCTCTCTCCCCTGCCCCATGGCCTACCGTTCAAACACAATAGCTCCTCGGAGAAAAAATGCAATGTGGAAGAGATTTTGTGGCCCTGTGCACTTTTATGGTGTCTCATCTGCTGGCACTGGCGCTGGCTACCTCCTCCTCTACCTCCCCAGTGCGCCAGTCCCCCCGTCTGACCTGACATCTCATGAAGCCCTCTGCCTTACACGAAAGCGTACAACAAATACAGGGACTTCATGTTCTGGGTTCCCTTGAAGCGTGGTGCACAATTCAAGGCGAGCGGTTGCGTCCTCTTTCTGTGTACCATGCTAGCACGCACTGTGGCTTCCCCTTCGTCTATATCTACTTCCTGCCGTCATCAAAGGCAGCTTTACCGGCATGGCATGCCAACGCGGGCCTTCGTCTCGACCGCTGCGGCATTACTGCACAGTCACGGTGACAGCGCCCCCAAAAGTGTCACGGATAGACCCAGATATCCCATAAAATGGTTAGCCACCAGACAAGGCGGGGCCACCGAGAAGCGCATTTTCGGCCTTGGACGAGGGGCGGTGAGGATGATGAGCACCCCATGCCTCATGACGTCCACGCCCGACAGGTTAGGATATGAAGTTATACGGGGGAGACGGGGAGGCGTGCTAAATTTTGCTCTCGTTTCCCTCGTGTGATTGGTTGCATGGCTAACCCCCCCCCTCGCCCCCCCTACCAAAGCAACTTTAAATATCCTCCTGCGGCGGCCTCTGCGATTGAGAAGACAAACAGCTATCTCGCCAGCTTTGCAGACGGAGACGAGGAAAGCACCGCGGTAAATGAGGGGTCTCTGCGAGGAGGCGAGGAGGAAGGAGCGAGGGGGGTGGGTCCTGGTGCAAGACTCATCTGGAAATCGGCCTTCGGCTGTCTCATGCGCGAGCCCTCCCCTCGTTCTCTACCTTTCTTTACAAACTACTCCTCCCTACCCTCCCCCCCTCCCTCCCTC